AGTCCTGAGATTGAGCCCCCCGTGGAGCCCTGCACTGAGGCTCTTTTTGGACTCCTCACTGGCCAGCCAGACAGCAGGAAGTCTGCTTGAGATTCTATCTCCCTCTCCCGCTGCCCCTCCCCCAACATAAATAAATCTTTAAAAAAATTCCTTGTAACAATTTTAAGTCTGTTTAGTAATAAAGAAAAACAAACGTCCTTACATTTATATCTTTATGGCATTGAGTTTTCCTTTGCCTCCCCTTCTTTTAACTTTGAACTTCCTTTTGTGACAGTCACTTCTGCTTTTCTGGCATGTGCTCAAAGGTTCAAATGCTAGATGGTAGGCTTCTTCTGTTACACATTCTAGCTCTACTGGATGGCTTCTTCTGTGTAAGCTGAAAATGGGGTCAGTACACAGATCCCCGGCCCTTCCTTAAATTTCATTTCTCTGAAGTGTGATCCGTACTGTTACGCACCACAAAGATCAGCCTTGCCTCGTGTTCCCTGACACCCTCTTGCTACCCACCCTGTGTGTGCAGTGAGGAGACTCTGCTAGGGAATGTCCTCTTTAATCTCAGCCCTTCATTTCTTTCCTGGGTGGCCCAGTCTTAAATCTGTATTGGTGCAAAATTAAAAATCACTTTCCTGATTCGTTCCTTTGGCCTATCCCATAATTCCTCTTAAGTCATCAAGCTATTACTTTTTACTCTTTTACGGCATACTTTGTCCCTTGTGAGTCATGCTCTGGGAACTTTCTGCTTGCTTAGAGATAAGATTTGACCAAAAATCTGAGAACTTAGAACTACTTGTACTTCCCAATTCCCAGTAGCTTCCATGTTACTTTTGCAAATGTCATTGTTAATATATAATCTCTATATGTATATAATATATATGGATGCCAAAGTATGTGTCAAAAATATAAAATCATGCATTAGAATGATACACACTGAATTAACAAGAGGGATTTTGATATAATGACAAACACGGACATGGAAGAGAAATACCGGCAGTCATTAGCATAGGGGCCCTCAATGGATTGGTAACACTTTCTTTTTTTTAAAAAAGTGGAAGAAAACACCCGTCAGAATGGCTAAAATTAACAAGTCAGGAAACAACAGATGTTGGCGGGGATGTGGAGAAAGGGGAACCCTCCTACACTGTTGGTGGGAATGCAAGCTGGTGCAACCCCTCTGGAAAACAGTATGGAGGTTCCTCAAACAGTTGAAATTAGAGCTACCATTTGATCCAGCAATTGCACTACTGGGTATTTACCCCAAAGATACAAATGTAGGGACCCGAAGGGGTACGTGCACCCCAATGTTTATAGCAGCAATGTCCACAATAGCCAAACTGTGGAAAGAGCCAAGATGTCCATCGACAGATGAATGGATAAAGAAGAGGTGGTATATATACACAATGGAATATTATGCAGCCATCAAAAGGAATGAGATCTTGCCATTTGCAACGACGTGGATGGAACTGGAGGGTGTTATGCTGAGTGAAATAAGTCAATCAGAGAAAGACATGTATCACATGACCTCACTGATATGAGGAATTCTTAATCTCAGGAACAAACTGAGGGTTGCTGGAGTGGTCGGGGGTGGGAGGGATGGGGTGGCTGGGTGATGGACATTGGGGAAGATATGTGCTACGGTGAGCGCTGTGAATTGTGTAAGACTGTTGAATCACAGATCTGTACTTCTGAAACAAATAACGCAACATATTTTAAGAAAAAAGAAAAAGAAGAAGATAGCAGGAGAGGAAGAATGAAGGGGAGTAAGTCAGAGGGGGAGACGAACCAGGAGAGATGATGGACTCTGAAAAACAAACTGAGGTTTCTGGAGGGGAGGAGGGTGGGGGGGATGGGTTAGCCTGGTGATGGGTATTGAGGAGGGCACATTCTGCATGGAGCACTGGGTGTTATGAACAAACAATGAATCATGGAACACTACACCAAAACAAATTATGTAATATATGGTGATTAACATAATAAAAAAATTTTTAAAAAATACCTAATTCTGAAAAAAAAAAAAAGTGGAAGAAACTATGTCACAATGTTAAGATCTGATAAAGCTGAAAAGTGGATCTATATTCTCTGTATCCAAGTGTGTGTTCCCACATTAGTCTCTATTATTGCCTACATGCATGAAATATTTCACAATTTTAAAAATGTCATTGTTAAAACTTTTTATTCCATTGTGCTGGTCATTTAAACTTCTTTATTGATATGTTACAGAAAACATCAGTAAGAGAATTTTGGAAGAGGAGGGAACCCATACAAAATAGAGAGTTGAGAGATGTAGGTTATAGTTAATGGATCAGGAAACAAAGTTACATATGTTGAGAAAGGTACAAAGAGGAAGTAAAGTAAGTTCATTACCTATAATTACACTAGAGGAATTAAAAATAGTGAGGCAGTCATATTGTGGGGGAGGGTGTAAGTGAACTAAGCACTCATCTATCAGAATGGGAAGGAAACCCACAGATAAAGTCTGTCTGATAAATGAAGAAGTGGCAATTGGACCATATTACTGAGAGATAGGGAAGTAATCATGCAGAAGAATTAAGAACATTGTTAGAAAGTTAAACTTGGTTGCTTCTTTCAAGTCTGAGTCTAGGGTTTGGGTGGAAAGTAAAGGGGTGGGGTAGGGCTGGGATGTAGCAGCAAAGCATTCTGATCTTTTGCAATAAGCTCTTCAGCACCATTGATTTTTTTGTAAATGTGCACATGTACTGCTTTGATTTAAAAGATAGCACAATGTTAAGACCATTGAACCCAAGAAAATGTCCCTCCCTTCAGTCATCTGATCAAGTTAGTATTTACTTCTTAAGCTATTTTGCCTGCTTGCTGATAAATTATTTACATCTTCATCCTTTAATTGGTATCCTAGAATGATCCTGTTTTTCTTTCTCTGTTTCTTTTCTTTCTTTTAAAAGAATTTGTACCCTCTGCAAACATTTTAGCAATGATTTCTCTCTACAAAAATTTAAAAACTATTTATCCATTTATGGAAAGCTTGTTTCTGATAAACTATTAAGTGAAATAAGGAGGTCACCTCCAATTCAACTGGCTTAAAACATGCCTATGACAAACACAAAGAGGCAGAAAGTAGAACCCAGAGCTGGAGGCATGGGGATAGAGAGTAACCGCTAATGGGCTTTTGAGAAGGGTGGGGTGACGAAAATATTTCAGACTTAGTGGTGATGGTTGCACGTCTTTGCGAATACACTAAAAGGACTGAATTGCACACTTTACAGGAGTTAATTTTATGGTACATGAAATATATCTCAAAAAATATGCCTATGAAAAAATACTACCAGGGCATAAACTAGAATGATAGTCATGCAATATGTAGGGAGTATTTTTTCTTTTACTTCCCTTAAGCTTTAGTAATGTGACATCACCTTCATAATTTCAGAAATATTTTAAAGTAACATCATTAACATCAGTGTGTGGTATCATCTCCTTGTGTCTAACTTTTCCTCCTAATTCACTGATACTTTTTGTTTTTTCGTGCACTCTTATGTGCATAATTATTTGCATTTTAATCTATTTTCTTTATAGCTTGAAATTTGGTGTTACTCTCATTCTTGTTTGACTTTTTCTTTGTCTTTTTATCACCTTGATGCTGCCAAATCTTTACTTATAATTTGCTTTTTCTGCTCTTTTCTTCACTCACTGTAACACTTTGCTTTGCTACTTTTCTTGAGAGCTCTCCCTGACATACATATAAATGCTTTAACCAAACTGTGACTTTGTGAAAGAGGAGCTAGACTTTCCTGCCTTGAATCATTCCTCAGTCCAGTCAAAGCTGGCAGGTAATCTGGAGGAAGGGGGAAAGGAGCACAAGGAAAGTAAGAGGAGAAGAATACATTTATTGAGCCCCTTCCATCTGCCAGGCTCTGTACATGCATTTTCTCAATCCTCCCTCAAGCTGGGGAGGCACTGTTACCCTCTCCTTTTCAATGCGGATCTGTGACTCAGATCACTTAAGCAACTTGCTCAAGGTCATGCAGCTGGTAAATAGCAGAGGCAAGTGTCAGATCCAGTTCTGCCTCCGTTCAAAACCAGCACTCTCTTGCCCTACACCTTTTTGTTGGGTTAGGTTCAGTTCTATTGAGACATATTGCCAAGATGGCCTCCAACAGTTGTACCAACTTACACTAATGATCAGTGAATTTTCATGTTTATTGGCCACGTATATATTTACCATTAGTAGATTTTCTGATGTATGTTATCCATTTACATAATTTCCTCTCTGAATGTCCTGCTTATTCCCTTTTCCTGCTCTCCTACCATGTTATACATTATTTATAATTCTTATTGATTCGTAGCACTCGATCTCTATCATGGCTAAGGATTCTTTATTTTCTATGCTATAACTGTGATTTCCTAGATTGTCATTCACTTCCCAATTTTGTTTATAGTACTTTTAAATATAAATTATAAAACATATAAGTGTTCACGTTTTACCTGGTCTTCTTTAAAGTTACATGTTTAATATTACTCCAAAAAATGATTTTACCACCCTAAGGTTATAAAAACATTTCTGTAGATTTTGTTTTTAGTAGTTTTATAATTTTTTCTTTTATTAAAAAGTGTTCAGGTCCTTAATCTATCTGGAATTAAGCATATGATATGAGAGGAAATGAACATTACTCTTTGTCCTAAACAATAATCAGGTGTCCCAAATCAGTTCATTCCACTTTATGTACTGAATTTGTATGCCCCCTTTATGGAATTCTAAATGCATACACACAGCATACATAGACTAAATTGAGATACACACACACACACACACACACACACACACACACACACACATCTATCTCTAAATTTTCTAGTCCATTCCATTGATTTTCTGCCTATTCTTTTTTTTTTTATACTTTTCCAACGAGTATTTATTATTAGTTAAGCCATGATTCAGAATCCCAGGGTGGGGATCACCATGCACCCAGGTCCCCCTTCACCTCCCTGGGAGAAGGAGGGAGGACAGAGGAGAGGTGAGTGAAGCCAGTTTAGATCTTCCCAGGAAACGTGCCTTCTGCCCGCCGGTCGTCCCAGGTTGATACCCAGGATATGGGGCAGAGGGACTTGTACACACAACGGTACCATTCACACATGGAGACATCACCCCCTTTAGCAGTCATTGCCTTCTCACAGCGGTGGAAGTCCAGGTAGTTCTGCCAGCAGTTCCTGGTCTGCTTCTGGTTGGGGAAGCGGCTGTCAAAAGGGTCAGTCTGGTAGTTCTTGATTTTGGTCTTGATGTCTTCTGCCATGGTGCTGATTCTAAACACACCACAGCAGCGCCTCTGCCTATTCTTAAACCAGTAGCATGCTGTTAATTTTTGAAATTCAGTAGAACAAATCCTATCCTCTTACAATATCTTTTAAAATAATAAAGAAGCCCCCCAAAATCGCATGAATAAATAAGTAAATAAGTAAATAAATAAATATTGCACCCAAAGATGCTAAATGACTTGCTCAAATGCATGTATCATTAGAGATAGAGTTCAGAGAGCACTCTGTGTCTTGAGTTTAAGTCATTTATCCATTTATTTAACACATTTTTCCTGAGCACTAACTATATGCTAGAAGTTGTAACTTCTGAGAAGCCAGCAGTGAAGGAAACAAACAAAAAAATCTATGCCCTCATGGTGTTAATACATATTCAACATTATTATTCATTCTCAAATAGATATATCCTCCTTATACCTCTGCTAAGTTTCCGAATTTTTGCGAAATACATCTTAGTTATTATTTCAGCATTACTAAAGGAGTTAGTCTTGCACTTTATATTTCATAGCCTCTTTTTCTTGCATATAAAAATTTTCAAAACTCTACAGTTTCACTTCTTTTTGTTTTTTAATGCAAAGTAATAATCCCTTCTATATCCAAGTTTGGTTTCTAAAAACCTCTTTGTAGAGAGCTCATTGTTAAGGAGCTTAAGGCTTTGTGAGGAAAAAGGCTTTGTGAGGAAATCAGGTCATAATTAAACTAGAAAAAAATACATATTTTCCTTAAAAATATATTAAAATAAAATAATACATCTAGCATGTATTACACATCTGAAGTTAGTAATTAATTTCCCTTCACCATTTTTTGCTTTGGGGGACCTTTCCAGAACTTCTCTTTTATGAAATTTCAGCAAGATGCATACTATTTTATTTTATAGCACATGATATTCATGATGAGTCTTTTCCCTATTAGTTTTGATCCCTACATTTTAAATTTTATCACTTGGAGTAATTGGCTCCCACTCTCTAGTCCCAAAATGACCCTAAAGAAAGTCACTCAACAGTAGTTGAATAGAATTATACATATTTAGGATCTGAAGTTGTACAGATCTGGATTCAGGATCAGCTTTGCCTCAGAATCACTGTTTGACCTTGGGCAAGTGAGGTAACCTCTCTGAGTTAGGTTTCTCCATCTATAAATTGGTGAGAATAATAACAGTGCTTCATAGATTGAGAAAATTAAATAAGCTGAATATATAAAGTTAACAGTGTTTTTCACATGACACATGTTAAATAAATGTTAGTCAATGTTTTTATTGAGATGGTTGTCAGTATCCTTACACTACAAAAAATAATGGTTCATTTGGGTGATAGAAGCAGGGGTATCTTTTTTTTAAATTTAATTTTATTATATTATGTTTGACACCATACATTACATCATTAGTTTTTGATGTAGCGTTCCATGATTCATTGTTTGTGTATTACACCCAGTGCTCCATTCAATACATGCCCTCCTTAATACCCATCATCAAGCAACCCATCCCCACACACCTCTCCCCTCTAAAACCCTCAGTTTGTTTCTCAGAGTCCATAGTCTCTCATGGTTCGTCTCCCCCTCCGATTCCCCCTGTTCATTTTTCCCTTCCTACTGTCTTCTTTTTTTTTTTAACATATAATGTATTATTTGTTTCAGAGGTACAGGTCTGTGATTCATCAGTCTTACACAATTCACAGCACTCACCATAGCACATACCCTCCCCAATGTTCATCACCCAGCCACCCCATCCCTCCCACCCCCACTACTCCAGTAACCCACAGTTAAGAATTCCTCATATCAGTGAGATCATATGATATTTGTCTTTCTCTGATTGACTTATTTTGCTTAGCATAATATACTCTAGTTCTATCCACATTGTTGCAAATGGCAAGATTTCATTGTGTTTTATGATGGCTGCATAGTATTCCATTATGTATATATACCACATCTTTATCCATTCATCTGTTGATGGACATCTTGGCTCTTTCCGTAGTTTGGCTATTGTGGACATTGCTGCTATAAACATTGGGGTGCACGTACCCCTTTGGATCATTATGTTTGTATCTTTGGGGTAAATACCCAGTAGTGCAATTGCTGGGTCGTAGGGTAGCTCTATTTTCAACTTTTTGAGGAACCTCTATACTGTTTTCCAGAGTGGCTGCACCAGCTTGCATTCCCACCAACAGTGTAGGAGGGTTCCCCTTTCTCCGCATCCCTGCCAACATCTGTCGTTTCTTGACTTGTTGATTTTAGCCATTCTGACGGGTGTGAGGTGGTATCTCGTTCAGTTTTGATTTGGATTTCCCTGATGCTGAGTGATGTTGAGCACTTTTTCATGTGTCTTTTGGCCATTTGGATGTCTTCTTTGGAAAAATGTCTGTTCATGTCTTCTGCCCATTTCTTGATTGGATTATTTGTTCTTTGGGTGTTGAGTTTGATAAGTTCTTTATAGATTTTGGATACTAGCCCTTTATCTGATATGCCATTTGCAAATATCTTCTCCCATTCTGTTGGTTGTCTTTTGGTTTTGTTGACTGTTTTCCTTGAAGCAGGGGTATCTTGAGGATATTCATAGAAGTAAAGGCTCTAAGAACCGCCTGGGAATTCAGGGGAAGCAATGGGGTTAGACCTCATGGATATTGGCAGTCATTCATGCACTAGAGGCATCCTGGGAAGAGTCGCTGACCTGGGTCATCTTGGCAAGCTCAGGGATCCCATAACCACCGTGACTCAGCAGCCCTCCATCTTCACCACTCCGTTTCTATTCCTACTCACCAATTTCTCAACTCCCCTGTGAAGACCTTTTGATTTCAGCTTACCCTGGTTTCCGCTTGTTCATAAGTGTGCTTGCTCACCTTTTCTAATAATGCAAAGCTTCAACTTATTCGCAACTCATCAGTTCCATGTGAGATTTCTAGGAGCTAGAGTTCGCTTGATCTGATGATATCCCTCTTTGCATACATGTTCTATGCCAAACCATCTCATAGGCCTTCGACACATCTAAAAATTGTTTGGGGGCAAACACTGAGGTGGGAGAACTGGAGGTTGAGGGATTAGGCAGGGGTTGGATCAGTCATGTGGTATGGAATATGCCTACGTTCCCAGTAGGAGTCACAGGCTTTGTGATTCTCCCAAAGAGTTGTGTGGTGACTCGCTTCTCGCTTCTCCATAGCTATACTTTGAATAAATTATATCTAATCTATTCAACATAGCCAAAAAGTAATCTTCCTTCCATCTGAAGGAAGTAATTAATTTCCCTTTTCCATTAGTTGTTTTATTATTTAGGTTGGTTTCCAACTTGATATAAAATGGGGAAATTTTTTTTAACGATTTTATTTATTTATTTGAGAGAGAGAGAATGAGAGATAGAGAGTACGAGAGGAAAGAGGGTCAGAGGGAGAAGCAGACTCCCTGCTGAGCAGGGAGCCCGATGTGGGACTCGATCCTGGGACTCCAGGATCATGGCCTGAGCCGAAGGCAGTCGCTTAACCAACTGAGCCACCCAGGCGCCCCTAAAATGGGGAAAGTTTTAACTCAGAGGATCCAGTCAAGGATTAAAAAGTAGATGCCCAAACCCAGTCTGTCCTCCTATATTACTTTGTTTCTTATTTTAAAATTATTCCCTGGGGGCACCTGGGTGGCTCAGTTGGTTAAGTGTCTGACTCTTGAGTTCAGCTCAGGTCATGATCTCAGGGTCCTCGGATAGAGCCCCACATTGGGCTCTGTGCTCAGCATTGGAGTCTTGGGATTCTTTCCCTCTGCCCTTCACCTGCTTGCACTCTTTCTCTCTCTCTAAAATAAATAAATAAATCTTTTAAAAAAAATAAAATCATTCCCTGTTTCTTTCCTTTCTGACCTCCAGTAACTCTAAATTTGAGGGATCTATTGTGATTTCAATGACCTGTTTCTGGTTTATATAATGCTTGGCCCATATGTGTATGGTTTATTTTTAGCTCCTCTAGGCTTACTTTGAACTCCTTTTACTTCCTTAGATTCTCAATGTTTTACTTCCTTAATCTCAGGACTCATGTTACTTCCTCTTCCTCTATCCTCCTGTCTTCAATAGCTTAGGCACTCTCCACAGGGCTTCTCATCTCCTTTGGGCTTCACCTCCATGGATTTCCGTGGAACCCCTTTCCTCCTACTTCTTCCTGCCTCTGTCATTGAGCTCATAAAGTTTTCTCCTCCATTGACTCAAAACAAAGGTATCTCTGCTGGAGTACATAATCTTGCTACTCTTTCCTCAGCAAAGGTTCATCTTGGCAATCACTGTCCATTTTTTTTTATGCATTTAATTTTATCTCCACAATGTCCTGAAATTCGTCTTCTTGTTTTTATCTAGCCTCTTCTGCTTCTGCTTCTTTATCTCCTATTTCTCTTATGGAATCAGTTAATTCCCTGGCATTCAAAGGGCAAGTGATACCAAACATTGCCTGCATTAATTTTCTAGAGCTGCTATAATAAAGTACCATGACTGTGTGACTTCAACAGAAATTTATTTTCTCGTAGTTCTGGGGGTTGGAAATCCAATAACAAGATTGGTTTCTTCTGAGACCTCTCCCTGGTTTGTAGATGACCTCCTTCTCCCTGCGTCCTCACATGGTCTTCCCCTCTTTGTGTCTATGTCCTAATTTCCTTTTTTTATAGGGACAACAGTTATATGGGATCATGGCCCACCCTAATGACCTCATTTGGATATTACCCTTTTAAAGACCCCATCTTCAAATACTATAATATTCTGAGGTACTGGAGGGTTAGCACTTCAACATATGAAAATTTGGGGGAGGGGGACATAATTCAGCCCTTAACAGTGCCTATTCTTTAAAATACAGATCAACATTTTTCTCCTCCATGAAGTTTTCTGACCCCAAAAGCCCACAGTGACATGGTCCTTCTAGAACTTCTGTGGAAGTTATTATCCCCTACCATCCATCTGGTAATCAGTCATGAGCTCTCTTGTAACATCTCTTGTTTTGCCATATTAAGTTATTAGGTATGATTTGTGTTGGTAATTTCTTATGTTCTAT